CTGTAAACAATGAACACTTGTTAGTCGGGTACTTTTATTTATGTTAACAGTGGACACTCGTTAGTCCCATACAGTATATGTTGTGTTGAGAATGGACACTCGTTATTCCGGTACAATTATTTCTGTTAACAGTGGACTCTCGTTAGTCCGGTACTTTTATTTCTGTTAACAGTGGACACTCGTTAGTCCCATACAGTATATGTTGTGTTGAGAATGGACACTCGTTATTCCGGTACAATTATTTCTGTTAACAGTGGACTCTCGTTAGTCCGGTACTTCTTTTTCTGTTAACAGTTGACATTCATTAGTCCGGTACTTCTATTTCTGTTAATAATTGACATTCATTAGTCCTGTACTTTTATTTCTGTTAACAGTGGAGACTCCGTTAGTCCGGTACAATAATTTCTGTTAACACTGGACACTTGTTAGTCCGGTACTTTTATATTTGTTAACAGTGGACTCTCTTTAGTCCGGTATTTTAATTTTTGTTAACAGTGGAGACTGGTTAGTCCGGTACTTTTATTACTGTTCAGAGTGGACACTCGTTAGTCCGGTACTTCTATTTCTGTTAACGTTGGACTCTCGTTAGTCCGGTACGTCTATTTTTGTTAACAGTTGACATTCATTAGTCCTGTACTTTTATTTTTGTTAACAGTGGAGACTCGTTAGTCCGGTACTTATATTTCTGGTAACACTGGAAATTCGTTAGTCCGGTACTTTAATTTCTGTTAACACCGGACACTCGTTAGTCCGGTACTTTTATTTCTGTTAACAATCGACACTCGTTACTCCGGTACTTTTATTTCTGTTAACAGTGGACTCTCGTTAGTCCAGTTCTTTTATTTCTGTTAACAGAATAACGAGTGGTCACTGATAACAGAAATAATTGTACAGGGCTAACGAGTGTCCACTGTTCTTTTATTACTGGACAATCGTTATTCCGGTACAATTATATCTGTTAAGACAGGACACTCGTTAGTCCGATACAATATATATGTATTTAGAATGGACACTCGTTAGTCTGGTACTTTTATTTCTGTTAACAGTGGACTCTCGTTAGTCCGATATAATATATGTGTGTTTAGAATGAACACTCGTTATTCCGGTACAATTATTTCTGTTAACAGTGGACTCTCGTTAGTCCGGTTCTTTTATTTCTGTTAACAGTGGACTCTCGTTTGTCCGGTACAATTATTTCCGTATGTAGCAGACACTCGTTATTCGGTACTTTTATTTCTGTTAACAGTGGTCCATCGTTAGTCCGGTATTTTATTTCTGTTAACAGTGGATACTCGTTAGTTTGGAACTTTTATTTCTGTTAACAGTGGACACTCGTTAGTCCGGTACAATTATTTCTGATTAGACATTCCTTAGTGTGTTATAATTATTTCTGTAAACAATGAACACTTGTTAGTCGGGTACTTTTATTTATGTTAACAGTGGACACTCGTTAGTCCGATATAATATATGTGTGTTTAGAATGGACACTCGTTAGTCCGGTACAATTATTTCTGATTAGACATTCCTTAGTGTGTTATAATTATTTCTGTAAACAATGAACACTTGTTAGTCGGGTACTTTTATTTATGTTAACAGTGGACACTCGTTAGTCCGATATAATATATGTGTGTTTAGAATGGACACTCGTTAGTCCGGTACAATTATTTCTGATTAGACATTCCTTAGTGTGTTCTAATTATTTCTGTAAACAATGAACACTTGTTAGTCGGGTACTTTTATTTATGTTAACAGTGGACACTCGTTAGTCCGATATAATATATGTGTGTTTAGAATGGACACTCGTTAGTCCGGTACAATTATTTCTGATTAGACATTCCTTAGTGTGTTATAATTATTTCTGTAAACAATGAACACTTGTTAGTCGGGTACTTTTATTTATGTTAACAGTGGACACTCGTTAGTCTGATACAATATATGTGTTTAGAATGGACACTCGTTATTCCGGTACAATTATTTCTGTTAACAGTGGACTCTCGTTAGTCCGGTACTTTTATTTCTGTTAACAGTGGACACTCGTTTGTCCGGTACAATTATTTCCGTATATAGTAGACACTCGTTATTCGGTACTTTCATTTTTGTAAAAAGTGGACACTCATGAGTCCGGTACTTTTATTTCTGTTAACAGTGGATACTCGTTAGTCCGGTACTTTTATTTCCGTTAACAGTGGACTCTCGTTAGTCCGGTTCAATTATTTCTGTTATCAGTGAACACTCGTTAGTCCGGTACTTTTATTTCTGTTAACAATGGACACTCGTTAGTCCGGTAATTGTATTTCTGTTAACAGTGGACATTTGTTAGTCCGTACTTTTATTTCTGTTAACAGTGGACACTCGTTAGTCTGATACAATATATGTGTTTAGAATGGACACTCGTTATTCCGGTACAATTATTTCTGTTAACAGTGGACTCTCGTTAGTCCGGTACTTTTATTTCTGTTAACAGTGGACACTCGTTTGTCCGGTACAATTATTTCCGTATATAGTAGACACTCGTTATTCGGTACTTTCATTTTTGTAAAAAGTGGACACTCATGAGTCCGGTACTTTTATTTCTGTTAACAGTGGACACTCGTTAGTCCGGTACTTTTATTTCCGTTAACAGTGGACTCTCGTTAGTCCGGTTCAATTATTTCTGTTATCAGTGAACACTCGTTAGTCCGGTACTTTTATTTCTGTTAACAATGGACACTCGTTAGTCCGGTAATTGTATTTCTGTTAACAGTGGACATTTGTTAGTCCGTACTTTTATTTCTGTTAACAGTGACCAATCGTAAGTCCGGTGTCCGTTAACAGTGGACACTTGTAAGTTCAGTACTCTATGTTATGTTAGTCCTCCTTAGTCTGGTTCAAGTAGATCTGCGCTGGTCGGATATTTCTCCCTGAACATTAAACACTTGTAGGTCCGTTATTTTATTTTTTTTTCTGTTGAATGTAGACCCTCATTCATCCGGCGTTTTGCTGGTGTTAACGATGGATCATCTTCAGTCTGATGCCTTTTAACAATTTGAACGCCGAACCCTCGCTAATTTGATCTTTTTTTCATGAAAAGTAGAACCACGTTAGTTCAATTTAGTTTCCGTTATAGAGGGCGTATGATGTGTTTACACTAACAAGTACGGACCGCCATTAATCAGAACCAAGGAATGTCGTTTTAAGTTTCGAATTTTGATTTTTGTGTTTTAATGTGTCATTTATCATCCTCGAAATTGCAAAGTTATGATAATTTAGATCTTTACATAAATCGTAAGTTTTCGTAACACATGGAATCGGTCATTGATCTTTTACATTGAACAACTCGAACCAATAAGTGTCAGAATACAATCGATTAAGATATTTTATTCTGACCGTTTTTGTCTCCGAACCTATACCACACGTTTCTGTGTTAATATACATTGTGTGGCCTTATTGTATCTAATAGTAACCGTGGAATGAAAAAGAAAAATCAATCGTGATAAAATTTACACCTATATTGTATAATAATTCAATATTCATTTGTTGTAGAATAAAGGAGCTCTGATGAGACGCGGACACGTGCACTTCAATCGCTGTTCTCTGTTAAAAGAAACAATAGTTCGATAAAGGTGGGGTGATGACAAACAAAATAATTTAAAGGAAAAACTAATGTTCTAGAGTGGTGAGCCCAAATCTTTCAGGGGTTTGAATTGAACCTTTTTTTATGATAAATGGTACATACATCTATGTAAGTCCTTTAACACAAAATACTGCGAGTATATCTTATGATGCATTCTGTGAAGTCTTGTGGAAGATGTATGTATTGATCAAGACTAGTCCTCGGTTGAGATCCGCGGTGCGTGGTTCGATGCTCCCTATCGGTTGCGGTTTATGCTCTCAGAAAGCTGAGAAACGGACCGGTCTATGCTGACGTGGCTGTGTCTTTTTGCGAGCCACTTTACCCTTACTGCTCTGAATGACATGCTGTCAATATCGCCTCTTCGAGTCATTCCGTAATACGGCCAGATGATGATGGAAGGGAGATAACTCTCCAAAGATAGCTAAATAATTTTGGGAACTGCTCCTGACGAAGTTGGTTTTCATTCTCTTACGTCCTATTTAATAGACGTTGAACACATAATATCAATATATGTCAACAGAGGCCAGTGAGTGTCCATTCTCCTAAAGCCCTGAAGGATCACTGTCTCTCACGTACACCGGCGAACCCAAGAGTAAAACCTGGTGCATGCTTACACATTAGCAACCCTGTGATAGGGGATGGACATAGTGCAGGTGATCTCAGGAGACCACTATTATGGTCTAGTGCACAACATAGAATTAGGAGTCACTAATGTCACCAAAATTCATCTTATGCCACCATACTGTATTAAAGATATTTGTCCATTCCTATCTTTGCTGTCCCCTTTTCATTTATCTATGTTTTTTGCTATTCTGATTAACACTCCTCCTTATGCAATATATGGTCCTGACTGTTACTTAACAGCCGTTCAATTTTTCTTTTTTGGTGTTCTGATATTCAAAATCAATTACTCCGAAACACTCTCTGGAGACGAGATCAAAGTCTTCAGCAGACAATTTTTTGTATATTAACGGTGAACTCTGTGAAACAAATAATCAATACCTTTCACCATTCACGGTTGGAAAACTGGAAACACGTATTTTTTGCCAAACACAAAAACTGTCTGAATGTGAAGCATTTAAAATCACTCTTTAAAACAATTCACAGTAACTATCAATAGGTAGTGAGGACATAGCTACTGTCAAAACAAAAAGCAATTCAAATCACTCTTTGAAATAAAAACACTGCAGCCAGAACAATGGAAAAAGCACAGATGATTTATTTATCGTAACAAAAAAGAAATCCTTCATAGAACACTCAATAAATACTTGCTTTTAACACACCACAGGGACCAGAATATATATCATTCCTAGGTTCACTATTACATATATTAATATCTCTGGCCCCTGTGGTTCACACTGGATATTTTCCTTAACATTGAAACTAGCATTCCAGTAGTATCAAGTTTATCCCTAGTCTTGTGTTGGGGATACAGAATACTCTTCTGCACCTAAGGTAGGCTGAGTGAAACAGATGTACTGCCTCCCTATCAGCCTATGCCTTTAGCCTACCAGACAATAACACACTTGCACATATGTTTCTACTTCCATCAAGGATAACAAGTCAAAAGATGAAAAAAAATAAGTGTATTAGTGTACCAGTCCTTAGTATAACTTGTTATACAATTTCGTTTTCTAGTCATGGTCTCATTTCACTGCGATATTTCATACAGACTTTCTGAGACAAACACTATTATAGTCAAAGTCATTCTAACCATGAAATATTATCTGAGTCATGGAGTTCATATAAAATTATTTCATAACGCTCTGTTCAGTCCTATTCATCCTCTTCAAAGCTATTTTTGCTCCAAATTAATATTTTGATGATGATTAAGTAGATATACATGTATCTGAGAAAATACACTGCCATGGAATACTAATGCAGTGGTACTTTAGTTACCCACATTTGTAGAACAGTACAAACCTTTGGACAGTTTATGTAGGCTTTTTAAATGAATACTATACTATACTATATATAACATGTGACTGGTTTTATTTTCAAATTTTTTTCTTGATCTAAACACATTATGCAAAATCTCTTTCCTTTCTTACTGAAATCATTCAAATAATTGAAAATATATCTGTGACTAAAGTACAAGTGATTACTTGTGAAATATGATCTCTACAATTAATTCCAATATTTTTACACATTTAAGTTTTCATTGCTATACAAAATTAAAATTCATCAACAAAAAAGAACATTGTTAATAATTCAATGTTAAATGTTTTGTTTTCAACCTCTGTTTCACCTTCTTATTTCGGTTGACTGAATTTAAAAGGAAGAAATGCTGGAATAACGAAAAACTAAAAAATAAAATTTTAATTTGCATTGCAGAAATTAAATGTTTTTCACTGTAGTGTTCAGAAGTATTTGATGAATACACAATGATGAATACACCAGGGTAATGTGAAGTCTATAATAATAACATCTAAATCTAGTATTATGCTATCGATATCATTGATGCCTACTGCCAAATATCTATTTATGAAATTTCTTTAACATTTTATATGTTTCAGCCATCAGAAAAATTCAGTGTTTATAAATGTTTTTTTGAAAAAATATCTAACTATTCATTATACGAATCATTCTACTTAATATCATATAGCAAGGTTAAATTGAGTGTTGTGTAAATTCACTTGGTGTATATGATAAATATGTAACTACATAGTTATTGTACTTATTAAAGCAGAACACAATGAATCATAGTATTTCCAACGAACATATATGAAATGCGTTTTTGGAAATATACTAATTTCTGTCAACCATTTCATCTTTGTCATAGTACAAAGTACCAGTTGTCTCCCTTAGTCATTTACTGTGAATAAAACTGGATTTTAAAAAGCACTTTAAGGACACATATCTTTATGTATCTCCTATTAACAAGTACTAAATAAAGAAAAATATCTTATATTTCAAACAACAAAACTTGTAAGATGGACAAATATTTCATTTATCCATACAGACAAATGTTCCGTAGACAGATATGCCTATGGACCAGCCATAGAGGTTTCAACCTAAACTATTCTACGATACTGTACAAACTATATTGCATAGCTGTAAAATTGAACTAGATTTCACTGAAATATTAGATACACTAATTCAGATAATCGTGGATAACTTATTTGACATAAATCTTCCCTTTTTATGTACTGCAATGTGATTAACTTTATATTTCCCCTGATAATTTAGATCCAGATGTTTATTTACTTATAGATAGTAAGGATGACTTAGATCCAGATGTTGATGTTGCTTTCTGGATCATTGTCCTCCAAATAATAGGAGTAATAATTATTTAGATCTAGTTATTCAGAGATTTTTAATCAAGAATATTAATACTAGCTGTCAGATTAAGAAACTTAAGTGTATAATTACATGAATCAAACAAACATTATGACAGACATAGCAAAAAATACATAAAGAACAAACATTGAATATCAATTACTCCGAAAGATCCTTCCATTTTGAGACTTAAATAGCTCTTCCTCAAAGATAGGGAGGCACTTATTAAAGATTGTTAACATTAATCAGACACAAGAAAAAAGTGTTCCCATTCCCTGTAGTACAATAGATTTCATCAAATTCTGAAAGTCAACAAGTATATTTGTAATAAATTTGTACCGAAAATTCAGTGTTGTGATTTTTACAAAGTCATAAGAATCATAATGAAAAAAATAAAAATCAGATAATTAACTTTGTTAACAATATCTGTAGGGATATCACAAATGACCTCCTTTCTGATACAAAAATCTTCTTTACAAGGACTTAAACAAATCCAACAGAAGTAATGCATTAAGGAACATGAAATACTTCCTCCCTAACAATGTCAAAGGTAATGAAATAACAATAGAGCTACCTGAAGTTGTATCATTACATCTCAACAGAATGTCAAACACTGTTTTTTAAATGAGGACCCCTATATAATTTGTGATACAAAACAATCATGAAAATCATTTACCACATTTTTGGATGATTACATTATTATAAAGGCTATTTTCACATGACCAAATTCAGAGATATTTAAACGATAAAAAATCAATTTGTGAGCTTCACATCATTTCTTACATCTTACAATTTTGTGAGTTAGCTGTTTATTTTATCTTATCACCTTTTTAAGTGAATCTTAATAAGATCTAATAACTTTAGATGCTGCGTACCAATGACAGCAGTAACATATCAAAACAACTAATTAACAGGACTTCACACACACATATATATATTATCAGCATGTGAATTTTCCTAATCTTAATGGGACAATTTAGAAAAGTACATGCATATATCATTTGTCCCAGGACTAGTAGACATATTGCTCACTGTGACAGTCTGTAAGATGTTATATACACAACACTAGGACCTACTACCGGTATATTACTCCAGCTTGAAGATTTTTTTTATTCTCAATGACTACAATTAGAATAATGTACCATTTGAAAGTTGTTTCTTAATCTCAATCACGCTGTCTTTTCATCATTTTCTATATAAATACTTATTTCAAATTCTAAATATTAAACTTCAAACTTAGTCCAAGAAAATGTAAAAAGATTTTGTAATGTCTTGTCAAATCCTAAAACAGTACTGTTCTAGAAACGATCCACAAGTAACATTTTCTCTCCAACTTTACTGCTCATTAAGGCTACATTGAATTCCACTTGAATGATTTAATCAAGTTCCACTTGGTTGATTTCTCGTGTCGAAGTAGTCATACTGCTGCCCATGCTTCCCCAACTGGAGGAGGACACCTGCATCATGTCTTCATCATCCTCCCCTCCAGAAAACAAACTCTGGATCAAGTTACCTGTAAAATAGTCACTGATCAATAACAGCGACTCTTTCCATTATCATAAACAATGAACTACTAGGAGATGGTGCTTTTGTGTGATATTTGGTGTAATGTGAGGTCATAATGAAAATGACAAAGGAGACAATCAAATCAAATTGAAGAAATTGGGAATGAAACTATTTCAGAAATTTTAATGTAATTTGAGAAACAGAATTGATTACTGTGTGTTCAAGATCAATTTATCTCTATATTTGTCTCAAATGAGATTTTATATAACACCAACACTGTATTATCCTATCTTCTTGTTTGTTTCAATTTCCTTCAACCAATAAGTATGTGTCTGTGTGTATTAGGGATGTTTCAGTAAAATATTTATCCCACGAAAGGACTCCAGAAATACAGAAATTATACCTAGGGTAGGTGATATATATAACATAAGTCCATATATAGTATTATCTTAAATTTAAAACTTATATCAATGGTTCTACATTGACAAACCCAAGGAGTGGATATCTTAATGGGAAATGCATAAATTACCTGACTCAATGCAGTCCATCAATGGTATCTATGTATAAATCAACTGATGTGATTAAAAAATATCATTATAAACTAATTAATGCAAATTTCATGGCTACATATACATCCATGAGTACATTTTAACATTTTACTTACCAAATAGACCCTGAGAAGGTGCCCTTGGAGGAGGAACTCCAAAAAACACTTGTCCAATTTTGTCTAAGTACTAAAAAATATCAAGCAAACAAGTGTATAATTGTCAGTAAAGAAACTGTTGCTTTCGTTAAAATCCTTTCCTTACATGCATTGTGAACATTTACAGATATCATTACAAAAATATATGAAAAATTTAATACTTTCATAATATGATTTCATTGGACATAGGTTTACATGTGTCTCTTAATATTCAAATACAGTTAAAACTTTTCATGATGCGTGACATCCTGGTCTAATCTGTTTTATAAGTTTTAAGGATATAAATTTATTTTGCACTATTTTCATGATAAAGTTAACATTTAAATCAGTTCCTTTCACCTTTCTATATGAAGCATCCTTCCACAAAGTAGGCAATTCAAATTTTTCACCTTTCTATATGAAGCATCCTTCCACAAAGTAGGCAATTCAAATTTTTCACCTTTCTATATGAAGCATCCATCCACAAAGTACACAATTCAAATTTTTCACCTTTTTATATAAAGCATCCTTCCACAAAGTAGGCAATTCAAATTTTTCACCTTTCTATATAAAGCATTCTTCCACAAAGTAGGCAATTCAAATTTTTCACCTTTCTATATAAAGCATCCTTCCACAAAGTAGGCAATTCAAATTTTTCACCTTTTTATATAAAGCATCCTTCCACAAAGTAGGCAATTCAAATTTTTCACCTTTCTATATAAAGCATCCTTCCACAAAGTAGGCAATTCAAATTTTTCACCTTTTTATATAAAGCATCCTTCCGGAATATAGGCAATCAAATTTCAGAATATATCACTAAATACAAGGTAAACATCACAGGATAATTTCTTACCTCTTTATATGTAGGATCTCTCTTTATAGACGTCTCATATTTTTCACATAAGATAGTAAATACTGTAAGGTGTCCCCTGTCAACATCAGATAACATAATTAGTGCTAACAACATAAGAAGCAGCAGTACTTATCATACATGGAAATAGCAATTAATATTTTTTGCATGAGAGATGCTTGTAACATGGTCACTTTCGATGATCGATTTGACCAGGGTTGTGTGTGCTCATTAAATAAGAATGAGCCTGTTATCTTATTTTGCTTTCTGGCCAGCTTCAACAAAGTAATTTGTAAAAATATCTGGAGGTCCATCGTGAAATGTTACATTTAAAGAAATTACTAACCATTTTTTCTTTGCATGAACCGAAGAGGCTTAAGTCTAAGGATGCCTGAGTTAAAAAGTAGGGAAAATATATAAACAAAATGAATTCCTTTTAGTGTAACTTACCTTAAAAGTGCTACAAAAATAGAGGAAATTGTTTTCAGACAATATTACTTACCCTTCCAGTGCTAACAACAGGAACCATATGAAGTTGAGTAACGGATGGACGTAAGGTGATCCCCGTCTCACCTGAGGGTGGTTTTGTGTGTATGTCTGAAAGGCATCATTTGCCGTTTCTTTATTCTGGAGACACAAATATCTGAAATGTACAAAACAATTAATTACTGCACAAATGAAACACAATCAAGAATGATTTGTAAATGGTGATGTTGATCCACAAACTTGAAAACTCCAATTTTTTTCTTTTTCTTCAATTTTCCTGATCAGCGTATGTTCACTAGCTATTGAATATTGGTATTTGAGAATAAATTCAGAAGGGTTTAAGGCTTTAAGATTTCTATATGACTAAATATTATTACCCAACTATATATTATTACCCAACTATATGACTAAATATTATTACCCAACAAGTTAAGATGAACTTTTGCAGAATTTCTTAGAATTTTTCTGTATTAACACTTGAACATGGCTAGTTTAAACCACATTCCATATTGAATTCAAAAAGATTAACAATTAATTATCATGTAAGTTATATTACAACAAATGACAATCACATCTGAACCCTCACATGTCATGATCCTCTATCAAAATTATCAATCAGCACTGAACACAACATTTATTGACGTTGCCTTACTGTAACACAGCCTGCGCTATAAACATGTCCACCTCTGACGTGTACCCTTTCATCAGATGATATTCAATCAGCATGGTTGCACATCCCTTGCCATCAGTAGAATGTAGGAAGTGATATCTGGCTTGGACATAATTTTTCTCTGCAATAACAAATTGAATATTTTCCATGTAATTCCTACACAAAGCCATGGTTTCCTAGGAAAACAATATAGTCTACTTCTGATGTTATTTATTGCCTCATAAAGGTGCTAAGAATACAGCTGTACTAAAAAATGCAGATTTCCAAAGACAACAAGAAGTCTATTCCTAACTGCTATTTTACCTTCCCAGAACAGTCTTCCAATCCTTTGGTGTAAGTCAGGGTGTCCAAGTTTGTGCCGCTGGTTGTCTGTTTTAGTCGACCACCTGATTGAGGATACCATGTAATGGTGGCGTTCTGGACAGTCTGGGTTCATGGCACGGAATAACTTCACCACCTTGTCTGCAAAAGCAATTCCAGATAGTGATACAGGATTGTTTTGCTAACGTATCAGTATAAAAATTTTAAAAATATCTATTATGCAATTGTCTTGGAAACAAACTAAGAAGAAAACATTTCAAGAATGCAGACCGTTTTGGTACAAGTATGAAATCAACTTCAAGAGCTAACTTTTTCAAAAACTTAAAATTTTGATGAATTTGTAACAGGAAACATTCTCTGTTTGCTTTGATACAAGAACTGAAAAAATATAAGAATTAAAAAATAAATGGGATCTTCATTAGATCTGCAGAGAACTATTACCAATGGTGTCATCTGTAACAGGAGTCAAGGACGTGTTGAGTAATTCAATCATCAGCATGGCTAGGTCTGCTCCACTGGAATGCTGCAATGGATAAATTCATCCCATAAAATATCCTGTTTACATAAATTGGTAAGTTATCATTAGTGTTTCCAAGAAATGAACAGACCACAGTGATCCTTAATTTCATGCTCAAATAATAAACTACATGTATACCCCAGAATTTCAGACAAAATCTGATGTTAGAAGTATTTCAAATCGATAGTTGACTAAATCGTTCTTTTAATTCAGAAAACGAGCAAAATGATTTAGGTATGCAGTACTGTGTAAAACAGACACAAATAACAATAAAAAATGTGTTTTTGTAGAAGGGCAGGAGAAGAAAAGTGATGGAGAATTGAAAAGAATTAGGGTCTCATGTCAGTGCCCTATCTTAAATCTCAAGATCTACAAAGAGGAATTTTCACTCAGGAAAGCAAGGATAAAAATCTGAAATTTTAAAAGAAAAACTTGAACCTGGTTGTGTTGCAGAAGGGTCAAGGATCCATTGTACAGTAGATTCAAAGCTTCTGTATATTTCTTTTGTCCCTTATACCTGCAAAATAAGCACCATTTTTGAAAATTTAAAACAAGGTGAAACACCATGATGTAGCAGACTTCCTATATAATATGCCATGTACTTCTTACCTGCCATGTGTTAAATATAAAAAGGTCATTCTTATTGGGTTTTCTTGTGTTATATATGAGGCTAAAAATTGAACATATCAGTCACATTTTAGAGTAGTTCCTCAGGATGTAACAATGGAAGCTAAACTGCATCAAACAAGTAGATCTTGGCTAAAATTTGTCATATTACTACACAAAATTTCGATAGTGGTAGATCTTCAACTGTCATTTGCAGTAAAACATATCAAATATTCAATGACATGTAATATTAGATTTGTTCCTGTTAAATTTTGTCATTTCAAACAACATCTTCAATGGTTGGTCTATATATTCTTCTAATGTCTGGGATGTAACATTGGACTTGCATCAGTCACTTCGGTAAATAGGTCATCTTTTACATAGTGGTATTGCAGACGTGCGTCAAACAGCCATGATGTCATAAAACATATACTCGGTGCCAATGAAAACGCAACACTAAAATTTTGGACATAATATATTCTTCACAACAAGGATTAGATTCTTATTCTGCTGTATTTAGCCACAACACAATGCACTACAAAACTAACGAAATAATGGTCGAGTAATATCAACTCCTTGTTGTAACACAGGGCATTGTCGTAAAAGCATGAGTTTGCACGTCGGCGCTCTAAAGTGCGTTATATCCTTGCTCAGTCACTACTAGTGAAAACTGTAGTTACAGTCAGACATTTTTCCGTCATCAATTTTTTAAATTGTCATCATTATTTGCTACAAATGCCTCGACTGACAGACAATGAAAGACACGAAGCTTGGGGTATGCTGGCAGGAGGGCTTTCTCAGAGGGAAGTTGCCAGGAGAATGGGTTGTTCTACTTCCACAATCAATCGACTGGCAGAACGAGTGCGACAAACCGGATCCGTGAGAGATCGACCTCGTCCGGGGCGACAGAGAGTGACGACGCCAAACCAGGACCGTTACATTCGACTAAGTCACCTGTGAGATCGTTTTCAAACCGCGACAAGAACAGCTAGACAGATGATAGGAAGTCATGGCAGACGTTTGTCAGCTAGTACTGTGCGCCGTCGCCTTTGCACAGCCGAATTGGCATCGCGCCGTCCATTTAGAGGAAACGAAATGACTCAAATTCGCCGTCAAAATTGTCTAAATTGGACAAGACAGCGCCGAGGATGGACCCAACGTCGGTGGGCTGGCGTCCTTTTCACAGACAAATCAAGATTCCGCCTCAGAGGAAATGACGGTAGAATTCGAGTGTGGCGACGTCCAGGTGAAAGGTTTTTGGACTGCTGTGTAACGGAAATGGATAGGTGGGGCAGGGGCAGTGTGATGGTGTGGGGAGGTATCTCTTTTGCATACCGTACCCCTCTAGTAATTATTGACGGCAATCTAACAGCACAGCGCTACATCAACAAGGTCTTAACTCCTGCTGTTGTTCCATTCTTTGCTTGACACCCAAACATAGCGTTATTACAACAGGACAATGCACGACCACATACCGCTCGTATCACTACAGACTACCTTCAACAGCAGAACATCGCAACCCTTCTGTGGCTCGCGTTTTCCCCGGATCTTAGTCCGATCGAGCATCTTTGGGACCAATTGGGTAGGGCTGTGAGAGAGCGACCACGACAGCCCCAGACGCGTCAGCAGCTTGAAATCGCTCTTCAGGAAGAGTGGAGGAACATTCTTCAAATCAAAATTCAACGCCTTATTCGGTCAATGCCTCGAAGATGCCATGCTTGTGTCGCTGCAAATGGTGGCCACATTAGATATTGAACGTGGTAATTTTGATTTTGGGGGTATGGACATGAGTCACCGGAAATCAAAGTATTCCCATGATGTAGTGCTGATTGCATTGAGTGAATTTTGTTATGGACATAATCAACTTTTAGGTATTTTATTAAATATTGTATTAAAAACTATAACTGGTAAATTTTGACAGTAATTTAAAGGTGTTGCGTTCTCATTGACGCCGAGTATATATAGCAACATACTCATAATATGAGATAAATTGCTTTTAATCTCAATGGCAAGGACATAACATTATGACACAATTCATCGGGGCCACACCCTTTTTCTTCGCAATTCCCATGGGGATGCTTTGTGCCTAGTTTGGTCAAAATCCATCCCCTGGTTCTTGAGAAGAAGTCATTTAATGAAGGTTTTTACATATGACCCCTTTTACACCCCTTATGGGCCCCAAAGGAGACATTATCACTTTTTCAACTTACTTTCATATGTCCTTCACTAAGGGATGCTGTCTACCAAATTTGTTGAAATCGGTCAAAGTTGAATTTTTGACCCTTTTGAGCTAGTGGCCCCTATTATGGCCATGCCCTTTTTCTTCGCAAACTTGAAGTGGCTTCCCATGGGGATACTTTGTGCTAAGTTTGGTCAAAATCCATTCAGTGGTTCTTGAGAAGAAGTCGAATATGAGAAAGGTTAACGACGCACAATGCACGACGCATGACGACAGACAAATCATGATGGCAATAGGTCACCATGAGCCTTCGGCTCAGGTGACCTAAAAACACTAACAGAAATAGATATAAAACGTTCTATTTTCCAATAGTATGTTACAAAACTAAGACTTTCTGTTAATTACTAAAATTAAAAGTCACTGCAACCATTTTTATTGATATCTAAAAAGAAAGAATGTAAACAGTGCGGTCTTGATCTAATTCATATATTACCGCTCGTAACCCTGATGCTGCACTTGCGTATAAGCCTAGAAAGAAGCAATATGGTGGACGCAAATGCAAAAAGGCCACGAGGATCAAAAAGTTACCTTACAGAAAGTGCCAGAAAGCGTAAGAAAAAGGAGTCAGACCAGAAAAGAGGACAGACAAGAATTTATATTAGACAGAAGATTGATAGATGGCGAAAGATGAAGGGGAATCTTGGACTGAATACTGATTCGGAATTTGCGAAGCTGCTGCTTGACTGGTTAACTTAACGTTAGCCCTATTCTTATAATGTATCTGCCTGTCATTGACTATACCAGGTAATACAATATCCAGTGTTGGATGTGTAAATATGTTATGAACAACACATTAAAAGTGTTATCTGATAAATGTTGAATGAAAAAAGTTGTGTTATTCACTTGAATTTACTATCAACAACGTGCGTTTGTTGTTGACTGCAAGGTGGCGTCCAATTTGGGGTATTCATTTTAAGTGTAACAAGAGGCCCAAGGGGGAATATATGTCAATAATCTGAGGATTTTAAAATGTTGCAAAAATGTAACAACACATGTGCAGGACCATGTGTAAAACATCTGTACCAAGTTTGAACATGACCCACCCAATGGTTCTTGAGAGGAAGTCCATAATATCTTAGCCAAACAGGGGCCAGGGTGGCCATCTTGGAATTTGAATCGCCCCAAAAAAGTTAAAACACTTGCCAGGACCTTCTGTAGAATATTCCTATCAAGTTTCCACCTTTTTCCCCCTCCTGGGGCCCCTATTGGGGCCACACCCTTTTTCTTCGCAAACTTGAAGCGGCTTCCCATGGGGATGCTTTGTGCCAAGTTTGGTCAAAATCCGTCCCCTGGTTCTTGAGAAGTAGTCATTTAATGAAGGTTTTTACATATGTCCCCTTTTACACCCCTTACGGGCCCCAAAGGGGACATTATCACTTTTTTCAACTTAATTTCATATGTCCTTCACTAAGAGATGCTGTCTACCAAATTTGGTTGAAATCGGTCAAAGTTGAATTTTTTACCCTTTTGAGCGCCCCCTAGTAAGGCCGTTTTTGATCCGATATTTTTTCATTCGCAAACTTTGTAGACGTTGCCATAAGGACCCTAAATACTAAATATGAATTTAATCTGACTGTTGGTTCATGAGAAGAAGATTTTTAAAGATTTACCTAATTTTACCCCCTTTTTCCTCCTCCTGGGGCCCCTTTTGGGGCCATGCCCTTTTTCTTCGCAAACTTGACGCGGCTTCCCATGGGGATGCTATGTGCCAAGTTTGGTCAAAATCCATTCAGTGGTTCTTGAGAAGAAGTCCAATATGTGAAAAGTTAATGACGCATGACGACAGACAAATCATGATGGCAATAGGTCACCATGAGCCTTCGGCTCAGGCGACCTAAAAATATGACGGTACTGGTGTTACTGTGAGAATAACTACCGTGATGATAAACATAACCTTCATAATAAACAAATAGATACATTTTGAATGGTAAACAATATCTAATTAATGTGTACAGACAAAGTATCAATTCCTGTGCATTTCTGCACAATGAGTTTTTCTCTTTTCCGATTGTAATTAACCCCACAATTGACATAGACAATTCTCGCATGACAAGCCAAAACGAAACGAATTATTATGACTGATTGTTAAAAATTATATATTATAACACTATAAAATAATTTATTGCAAACAAGAATTAGCAGAAAGGCCCAAAAGCAAGTGTCATACATAAGACATGTGCGTTTGTTTACACTTTCCTCGTAATCCATTTTTTCTTTGTGGCGGAAGTAAATGACAAGCCATGTGACCCACTCGGCTTTCTTCGTAATAAACCGAGAGTGAACATGTTTATAAACAATAGTCAAGATAAACAATGTTCCGATGCTGAAAATATGTACAAAAACAACAAATTTGACGTTATAGGCGTGTGTATCGCTTTATTCCCGATGTTGAAATTTAAGGTGATAGCTGCTTTAACACTGAATTCCTCCTCATAAACAAATGTACAAATCTGGCTTTGGTCTTTACATTTTTATCTGAATTTCAACATTAAGTATTTACGGAGGAGTAGAATCAGACTTAATATATATGCATTTGATGGAAGTTGACAACTAACCATAATAATAACAAGAGATCCCAGAGGGATCTTGGCACCCACCATTTGAGGATCTGTTTTCAGTTCTTGAAGATTTGTTTATTTTTTTTTTGTGTTACAGGTTTTGTAAATGTTCAT